AGCTGCTGTATCTGTTTCTCCCCAGGACACTGGAGGAAGGGAACAATGACACCCCAAAGCTTGTCTGTGTTCCTCCCACTATCCAATTGGTCTGATAAAAAATATCATCCACAAAAATTCTTGCCTTTTTTAAACTACAGTCAGGATGGCTTTTGTTTATTCTCCTTCTTCCTCCCTGCTCTCTTTCTTCACTTACCATTGCCACAGAATTTGCCCCCGTGCATAGTCACTGATCATGTGAATTTGCAGCCCTGTGTAGTGAATACTGCAGGGCCGTCAGCAATTTGTGACAGCAACAGGGTTATAAGAATTAGCTAGCTGTCTGTAAAGGTTGCTAATGCCTGAAATAGTCTTAAGATTTTAAACAAATTCTCTTAAGAATTTTTGACACTTGATTCATGATATTTGTATGCTTGGGCAATACTAGAAAAGTAAGTCCTTAAGTCTTATTCAAGAAAACTTGTTTCCCGCTTCATTATACGGAAGTTTCATGTTAGTACAACCCTCCTTCCCTGGCAGTTCAGGCAAAGCTGTGTCTGAAAGTTTACTTAATGTCACTACAGAATGCCCAATGATAACTAAAGGCTGAATGTGTTTCATTTGGGTGTTGAATGTGAAAAATGCTTATAACACCTGCTAGGACTTCAAACTGATGGACTGAGTAAGCACTTCTCTGGATTTCCAGACTTTACACAGAGCTTGGACTACAGAACACAGAGCTGGTCATAATAGTGCTGTTGTGGAGGTTATGTTGTGGTTGTTCATATGGAAAATGTATAACATAATTTTATATAGCATGGATAATGTGAGTAACAAGCATTTGCTCTAATAATAATGGGAAAAAATGAAACAATGACATCCAGCACTTACTGAAATTTAAATATAATCATGTAGCAACACAAAGAAACAGTCCATCTTCACCACTTAAGGACTACGTTGAGAGGAAGTCTAGGGAGCAGAAGGATGCTTTTGTGGTTAAGGTAAAAGATGGGGAATCAAAATAGCTGAATTCTACTGCTAAACCTGCAGTAAATGTCCTTCAAGAGCTTGGAGAAGTCATTAATTGCTTTGCGTTACAATTCCTCATTTCCATAAGGAGATATCCAAATTATATCCAAATATCCTGTCCAAATTTGCAGATGATACGAAATTATGGGGTGCAGCTAACACCCTTGAGAGGAGGAACCAGATCCAGGCCGACCTAGACAGGTTGGGGAAGTGGGCAGAGAGCAACAGGCTGCAATTCAATAAGGACAAGTGCAAGGTGCTGCATCTAGGGAGGAAGAACTACCATCATACCTACAGGCTGGGGAGTGACCTTCTCAGCTCCACTGAGGCAGAAAAAGATCTTGGAGTCACTGTTGACTCCAGGATGAACATGAGTCACCAATATGATGAAACAGTTGGCAGAGCCAATCGCACCTTGTCATGCATCCGTAGGTGCTTCACAAACAGGTCCAGGGAGGTGATTCTCCATCTCTACGCAGCACTGGTCAGGCCGCAGCTGGAATACTGTGTCCAGTTCTGGATGTTGCGGTTCAAGTGGGATGCGGACAACCTGGAGAAGGTCCACAGAAGAGCCATTTGTCTGATTGGAGGCCTGCAGGGAAGGCCCTATGAGGAAAGGCTAAGGGACCTTAACCTCTTCAGCCTCTCCAAGAGAAGACTGAGAGGGGACCTTGTGGCGGCGTACAAATTCATAAGGGAGAGCAACATGAAGTAGGCAATGATCTGATCACCAGGGCACCCCTGGAATGACAAGGAACAATGGCCATAAGCTACTAAAGAGAAGGTTTAGGCTGGACATTAGGAAAAAGTTCTTCACAGTCAGGGTTACCAGAATCTGGAATGGGCTGCTAAGGGAGGTGGTGCTCACCCCATCCTTGGGGGTCTTCAAGAAGAGTCTGAATAGGCACCTGGCTGGGATCACATGACCCCAGAGTTGGTGACTCTTTTCTTGCCTGCTGGGGCAGGGGGTCTGACTAGATGGCCCACTGGGGTCCCTTCCAACTCTATGAATCTATAGCAATACTTATTTTAAGTATATCTTAAGTGAGGCTTAGTTGACAAAAGTTTGTATAGTATGCACAGATCTGTGGTTAGATGCTGCTATGGAAATGCTAAGTGTTGTTACTGAAAACAGGTATTCGAAAGAAATTTGTACAGCAATACATTTTTAGTAAAAAATTATCCACCTTAATATAGAATCAAAATGGTTTTTTATAACAAGTCAAAAGAATTGCCTACTAGTGAATAAAGCATCCTCCTATAACATGACATTATCATCCTGTTTTCCCACCATGTTTCAACTATGGTATTCAGCCCTTTCTTCACATCAGAAAGGGCTACAGAACTCCAGCAAAATGAAATAATGGCTTTTCTACAGCATAAATAAAAAATGTAGTATGATAAAAAATAAGTGGCGTTGCTGGGTTTATTTTATTAAATGAAGCATTTCTTTGGTTACACTAATTATAATATGGGCATAGTATAGTAAATTTTCATTAAGAAACAATGTTTTACTTAAATTAAACTCTTGAGCTAAAGAAAAATAAGTTTAAGTCCCCAGCAGGTTCTCCTATGAGTAGCATAACTAACAGTTTTGAAAATGTTCAAAATATTCTCTCTCAAATATATATTATACATTGCTATATTGTTAATTATATCCATTTTTTCCTTCACACGCTCCCTTGGGAGATCAGTGGAAAATGGAAAACTAACTTTAGTAAATCTCAGTTTTAATGAAAGATGGTTTTAATACATATGACAAAGTGATGTAGTCTTCAATATTTGATATATAATAATTTTATACTCTAATGGCTATCATTTTGAAAATAATTAATATACATTTTATGTAATATACCCAGTAGATAATCAACTTCGCAAAGAGTTGCTCTGCTTATATCATAGTGGATGGAGCTTCACTGTTTAATTCTATTAAAGCTATTTGCACAAACCTTTAATATATATTTTTAATAAAAGTTTTATTTCATTTTGAAAAAAGTTGCATGTATTCCAGATATACGGGACACTATGCTGGGATCTGTGCGTGTGTATAACTACATAGATATAGATACAGATATATAAATCTTGGCCATACACAAAGTTCTAGATATCTATCTAGCTACATATATATGCTCAAAATTTAAGAAAAAGAAAAAAAGTGGTTATGTAGTTAGGCCCATGAATATATAAGCCATTGAAGTAAATGGCTTAATTTTCAACAGTAAAAAGCCACCCATCCTTTCATATTGTCACATGATGTATTACTGCAAGGGTCTCCAGACAGTCATCAATACTTCATACTCATTAGCATCAGTGCCAGCTGATAGAACAAGTAGAGTCCCTTGCCCAAGTCTACCTTTCACTTGAAGGGATCCTGGAAATACTCAGAATTGCAGCTGAAATGCCATGACTACATTTTTACAACCTTCTTCATAATCTTTCTGGAAAGAGGGAAGTTCAAGATATGACCATAAATTGGTAAGACTGTCAATTTAAGTAGTTAAAACTTAAATAATTTCTTGAACGTGGATCCAGTGGTAATTTATTTTAAATCTGTTCACTATCTTCTTCTTGAAAAGGAGACTCAGGTTGAAATAAATACATACAAATGACCTGGAAGAACTCTCCTGGGTCTGTTCTCCTGGGAGAAAAACTTATCTAGAGGTGTCTGAACAGACATTCAAATGCTGAGTCTCTGAGGAACAGAGAGCTTGCAGTGCTGATGCTGCACAGCCAGAGGGCCCTTGTACACACATCTCAGCATGCTCTGCAAGCTCAATTAATTTGCCTGGTGACAGATAGCAGCAGTGCACAGGGGAACCCTGATTGGCTGACCCAGACTGCCTTGCAGGCTATGTCTCCCTGCAACACAATGTGGGGACGGTGAAGGGGGCATGTTCAACTTCCTGCTTGGCTGGAGCAGAAGAGTCCAACCTGAGACTCTCACACAAGGGAGGTAGAAGCAAAGCACCCTGGGATGCTAGAAGACTGTGATATGGATTCTCTGTACATATGTTTGTTCTCACAGGAAAAATTCTCCCAGCAACTGTCCCAGGAAAACTGAATGTCTGTACATGTCCTCAGTCTGCAGTCTACCTTGCAAAAAAGGCTGCTAATCAGGACTTCACCAAGGCTATGGAGGAAGAGAAAAACTTATTTTCTTGTAGCTCTCCAATGACTTAAAACTTCTTTATTTCATCAAATATTATGTTCCAAATGACCAGTTAAGATTCACTGAGCATTGGTGCTTAGGAGCTATGCTATTGATAGCTAGTCAGAGCTTCCATAATGTAACATTACTCCTTCCCCAACTGTCCCACTGTCCTCAAACAGTAGAATAAAATAGGGTGTCCACAGTGAAAATGGCAAAGATGGGCCCTGACCTCTAATTTAAAGAGGTTATGGTATGACTAGGAGAAAAGCATGAATTGCACTCCATAGTCAGTAGTCTCAGACATGAGACAAGATCTAGGTTGTGATCCATCTCAAGGTGCAATTCTCTTTACCAATCTATAGTCAATAAGATTGATTCATTTCTCGGCTGTATCAAGCTTTTCTCAGGTATATTAAGCTGCTGACTTTTCAGTGAGTGAAAAATCAAGTCCTGTGTCTGTTGAACTAGGTGTTATACAACATACAAGATAAAGCAAATAATACAGAAAGTGTAAGACACAGGGAAACCTTTTATAGGGGGACTCAGTTTATAGCAAAGTAAAATGAAAAGCTTAAATTGCTTTGCCAGTTGTGGTGTGAGCATGTTGTAGTTTGAAAAAAAATGACTTTATTACAAGCCTTCAATTCTATATTAAAGGAATAAATATATTGTATATAAATGCAGATGTACATATGCATATAAAATTGTGCACACATTTCCTATATCATCACATGCACCAGTTAAATCTTTTATCATATTGTAAGGAGAGACTTCTCTATCAAAACTATGATTTTTTTTTACCTTAAAATATTGCAGTTGTTTCTCAGCATTCATTGTTCCTTCGTTTTCTTGTCTCAGACAGGAATTGAAGATGAAAAGCTCTGTATCTCTCAGCCACCCTTTCAGCTCTTTGATCCTGACCTCCAACTGCCTTACCAGGCTGCCGCTTTCAGGCGAGAGCAGGTCACGTGGACCTAACCCACTGTGCCCTACCATTGTGTCTTGAATCTTCTCTCCTAGGGTTTTCTAATGCATTAGATAAAGAAACCATAGATTAGTCTTATGTACCAAAACATCTCACAAGTTAGTGAGCAACAAGAACCATCTGTTAGATGACCAGCGCTATCATTTTCTTGTTAGTACCATTATCTCTCAATTTCATTCTTTTCTAATTTGTTGCCCATTTTTTTTGTTCTTATTGAAGTTAATGGCAAAACTCTCATTGACTTTAGATGGAGCAAGATCAGATCCTTCAAGATAATTTCTGTTTTATTAAGAATATTTTTGGACATATAAACAAAAAAATCTCATATGGTTAACTTTGTAAAGTGATCACCATGGAATAGCTGTCAGTTTCTCTACACAACTAAATAGCTTTACTCAGTATTTGTTGTACTCTGGATAGAGCATGGATAAGAACTATTGCTATGACTTTACCTACTGTAAGACACACTCACAAGTAATGTTAAGGATGACAACTGTACATATTTTTTAACTATAAAGTCTTAGGACAAAGTTTTGAAATATGGATGCCTAAAGTTCAGTACATACCTCAACATTTGGACACTAAAACAGGTTGCCTTTATTTTAAAAGGTGAAAAACACATTTTTCCCCTCAGATAGAAATAGAGCATGCTCAGATTATATGAATATCAGGCCAAAAAATGTAGGTAACTAAATATAGTCTTGAGTGCCTGCCTTTAAGCACCAAAGTTTCTATGCCAGATGTTGGCCAGGAAGAAATATTCACTTCTGGTCACTGAAATTGACCTGAGTATAGCTTCTCAAGAAAAAGTTTATTAGAAAAAGAACTAGTGCATAATACTTTTCAGTAGTGACCATTCCAAACATAAATAATATTCTGAAGAGGCCAAGGATAGCTTGTACATGGAGACTTAACTTCCCTTTCATTATTTTGAAAGGCAATTCCCCAGTATCATGGGGTGGTATGCTATTGCGTACCTTCTACTATGTTAGGCTGTGCTTTATCTGACCTATAAGAGGGTGTCAGTTGGACACTTACGAGCACTAGATCTGGATTGTAGAATTTTGAATATATACTGACAGTCATATCCAATACATTTTTAAACTGATAATTAGCAATTATCAGTTGTAACATGAAGATACAGTTTTAAATGACCAAGCATGCCTGCCTATTGATACTATGCAATATAGAAAGTCAATGGGACATGATTTATAATGATGAATTAAGCATCCAAAAATAGCTTTAAAACACAAATAAAATGAGATCAACAGACATTAATCTACTGTGTAGCATTGTGTAAATAGTGTTTTAGGAGATCATAACTGAAAGACACGCATTTTGGCAACTCCCTTCTATTTTCATGGTGCAAATATTGATAATTTGAAGACCCTCAGTGGAATCCAGAGTTAGCTATTGTTTTTATGCTGTAACAAAAGTAGCAGCAGGAGGTGAAATCAATGCCCTTGGAGGGTAGGGTCACAAAAAAGAATTTATTGCCACTTTTTTGTTCTGGAACAGTTTGCAATCATAAATTCTTCATAAACAGAATACTTCAGAGAATGGTCCGTCTTCATAAATATACGACAGAGGACATCAATTTCATTTAATTCACAATTTGTGTCAGCACAGCAGATGCCAATGCCTGCCTTGATAGGGTTGTTTAATATGCAATTGAGACAGAGTAATATTCAGCACAGGGGACAAAATTTCACAGATTAAACTGTACGCACCACTGACATTTCATTCTAATGTATTTCCATTCCACACTGTTCACCTTAGATGAAAGTAATATTAAAAACCATATCCCTCTATTTTACCATTGTTAGAAGTTAAAATCCTTGTCTTTAATTTTTTTCATGCCAATTAAAATGTAATCATGCCAATTAAAACAGTATGCCTAGTGTTGTTAGTTTCTGCAGAGGTTTTTATTAAATTAAACAAAACTCTATCAAACTCTGCTTATTATATATGCAATTGCATTTATCAGGAAAACTGTAATTTTTTATTTTTTCCTTGTAATTCCTTAAATTAATACTAAAAATGAAGCTAAAGCCATATTTTGATTTTAATATGCTGAAAGATGGAGCACGGTTAAAATCATTTTTAAAAAGCCAGAGTTGTTCTACATTTACATTTGTAAAACTGATTTTTAGAAAGAAATATTGATTAACTGCTTATCACATTGACTTTAAAGCCTGTCAAGTATAAACAGTAGCACTGTGCTTAAATTAAACTGATTAAACTGATTAAATGCAGTCCAGTATTTATAACTAGAATTATTTAAAACACTAAATACTAGTTGGTTGCTATAATTCAGGGAAAAGCACACAGGCTTTTAATATTTATATTATTGCTGTTCAAACATTTTGAAAACAGATTTAGGGATGTGGTGCATTACTTCTAAGTAATGAACGAACTAGTGGATAGGACAAACTTTTAACATTGAGAATTGTACACTCATAGAATCAAGTTTTAAGAAGAGTGATGACTAATAAGAAAATACTCAATGGAAACTGTCTATTGTATCACTACATAAGTTTATATGACAAAAGTCAGTATATCTAAACTGTTCCTGACAGGTTGATGTATTATTTGCAATGTGTTAAAGGTAAAGGCGTTAAAAGGTAAATAATAGCATGCAAAATTATTCTAACTATATTTCTAATACTATGCATCTATAATTAATAAAGTAATTTATAAATTTATCTTACCCTTGATTTGAAGTGAAGGCAATTAAGGAGAGAAGTGGATGAAAAAATATATAGCTTAACCTCTCTCTCTTTCTCTCAGCTGTCTTATAACAATAGGACAATAATGTCTCCTGCACGGTGCCATCACTGGTCTCTGGGTAACAGAATCACTATATTGCTTTTTTTGCCAGATTCTTGTATCTCACTCTTTGGCTGAGACCCAGCCCATCATAGCATGAAATGAATTACATGAAACTTTTTTTGGCTTTCGTAAAAAGTGAGCTGAATACAGTGGCATGAAATGTATCCTGACTGCATTCTTAGATTCAGGTATTCAGATTTGTACCAAATTTACATATTTGTTTTTGAGCCATCAATTTGACCTAAAATATGTAGTGACAACCCCACTTTTCATCTTAAGGGTATAGTAAATAGTTAAACAGTAGATGTCTCTAACATGTACCTTCAGAATAAATTCTATTAACATTCACTCAAGCATGACAGTCAGTGTATATCAGATATACTGTATTATAGTTGACTTGGTGCATACCCATAATACATGGCATATTTTACTTACATTTTTATGTATTAAAAAACTAAAATTATTAGAGTCAGACAGGAGACAAGTATGGAATAAAAAAAAAAATCAACAAAAGAGGAAAATACCTTGGGCTTTTTTTTATAATAGCATGAGTAGCTTGTTTGAAATGTATGTACTGAACTGAAAGAGAGAGATATTTGTGCCTCAAATTAGAAATCAGACAGACAGCGTACTTCAACACACCAAAATGTACATACACATAACCCACAAACAGTAATAAAAATGCAAATACCCCAAGCAGTTCCCATTTTTCATTAATTGAATCCACTTTTTCAAGGAGATCATTTGGTAGTAAAACACCACTTTTCTTCAAAGCTTCAACCTTACTAAGCAGTTCCATCTTTTTTGGGTGTCTGATTGACATTTCTACATTGTATCTCTAAAATGAGAAGAAGAAAAGACAACATTAGCTACCATAAAGGGTTTTCTTTATTAAAATTCAACCTTAATATCCAAATGCTCAATCATCATCATGATCACAGTGCTTACTTTTTAATATGTTAAAACACCCAGCATTGCGAATATGTCTCAAAGGGTTTTAGCTGTGCACTGAACAGGTGTTTTATCTGGGTGGCATTTAGGTGAGAACAGTTGCCTTCTGACTGCACAGAACAAAAATAGACTACCTTTTAAAAGTGCCTCATCTAGACCACAGTTCACCTTTGTCTCACTCAATACAGGTGTTACTGCCATTTCTCAATGTATGTTACGTCTACCAGTAATATTGATGCCTGCTATTGAGTCTAAGTAAATGAAAATCCCATATAGGATTCTGGCATAACTCTCCTCCCCACCTCTTTATTTTGTGCCTCAAGAAGTTGAGAGCTATGAGGTTAAGGCAGGTATGAAGACCACATTTTGGCCACAGAAAAAAATCACTCCTATCTTATTACAATAAAACATTAGAAACTGGATTTTTTTGCTCCTGTTGTAGCATTTCTACAATAACACTGAATTGGTGGCACAAGCAAGAACAGCCACAATCCCTACAGAGTCCAAATGTCTCTTCAGTCTACAACTGCCCTTTATGTTCCTGTGATTATTTACTTTTGAAATGGGATGGAAAAATTGGGATTAAAAAGGTTAAAACTATTCTCAAAATTACTTCAAAATCTCTCTAAACATTTCAACTGGCTATTACTCATATTTTTTGTAAAAGTGCACAGCTATTTAAATGACATGTTGGTAAGTGAATCCCTTTAAAACACATGTTCTCTTAGAGCTGAGTTAAGTATATATATGACAGTTACTATAGTGATTAATGATGTCTTAGTGGATTGTGAAGTAAATCAAAAAATAAAACTTAACACACATGCATACATGCTGTATATATAATTAAGCTAATTCCTTCTTGCTCTTCTGTAAAAGCACATTTGTAGAAATGAGACTTTGTATATTGCCAAAAATTGCACCTTTTACTTCAGAGTAGAGAATACAGAACATTTGCCCAAAAAAGTGTTTACAAGACCTACATAAATTATGCATAGCTATTAGCAAATTACATCCTAAACATTAAGCTTTCTTTGCTTCAAACTCAGCCAAGAAAACTATCATAGTAGTTCTAACTGAAAATGTTAATATCTCAGCTAAGTATAACAAAATTAAACTAGAATAAAGAATATTTAAAACATGGGTGCTTCTGCCAGATACAAGAACATGTACTGTAGCAAAACAAAACAAAAATACAATTGGAAACAGCTTAAAGAAAATAAGGAAGGTGTGAAATCACTGTTTCAGCTAATAGGTCCTCAGCATTTCCATGCATATGTTTGCATATTGTTAGTTTCATATTTTAATCTTTCATTTACACAACACATGCACATCATTTGTATTATGTAAACTTCACCAAATATTAGTCATTTGTGGATCACAGAGCAAATGTTTTAAATGAGGTGATTTAAAGCATTTCAAATTATTAATGAACACTGATCAGGTGTCTATGTATTCCAAATGACATGAATATGCATGGTAAAAATGAAGGAATTGTTTAAATGTATAAGGAACTTGCCTTTTGATACATGGAACACTGAGAATGTGCTTTGTAAAAGTGTGGGAGGCAATCAGATTTGGCACTGAGAAACTGGATCACCCAGCAGATAATATCATTTTATTGGATGAAAATGTTCAACAAGTATGCTGTTTGGCTCTGTATTATTGCCTTTTCAGCTAGAAATGGTGACTAGAGGAGATTACAATCTGCTTTATGTAATCTTATTTCTATTTAAAGATGATATAGCTGAAAAGAATTTGCATAATGATTTCCATAAGTACATGTAGTATCAAGGGGAATCCAGAGTCCATTTCAGCTAGGCACTGAAATCCAGTTCCTGTTACTCCTTTTCTTTTGCCAAGTGGATTAATAGACAAAGGGAGTCCTCTAGCTGTGTGATACTGGTGCAGACTTGGCTAGTTAACACTTTTCACCTGTTATGGACTGGATTTTTTTCTGTTGCCTGAACTGGGTTTTGATTACGCTGTTGGGCAGTGTAAGATCAATGAAGAAACAAAACAGGTTGCATATGTTTCATAACAACAGTACTCTTGTTAACATAAAATTCGCTGCAATCATTTAATTTGGACTACATAATATAATTCTACAATATATCCTAGTATAAATAGTCACTGTGACAGATGTCATAAAAGGTTATTATGTTAAGAAATAAATAAGCTAGACTTTATGTTAGCTTTCCATCTTTGTCACCATGTACCCTACTGTATAAACAGCATGATGAAAGATGATTGATAGAAAATGCATTATTCTGTAACAGTAAAAGATGAAAGAATTTAGCTAATTGTTAAATGTATTGGTATGTAACTGAAAGTCAGTATTGTTTCACTTATAAAAATTAACATGAAATATTTATTTTAATTTAAGGCAAGTGCTTAATGTACAGAAGGTACAGCTCAGGGACTGATAGCAGTAGATGCTATTGCTAATGCTATTTTTTAATCCATTAAACACCTACACTCTAAGCAGTTGCATAGCAAAATTAGCTACCAGCTCTATCAGTGCTGCACAACCCGAGTCTAGTAGGACTACTTTATCCTGTGGTGAGAAGATAATTTAATCTTCATATTCATTCTATCCTCAGCATTAAGTGAGCAAAGGCTGCTCTATTGTGACAGCCTGTGGATGCTATGATATAGATTACTGTTCAATAGCCAAAAATGAGATTAAGAAAGTTAAAGTCACAGGATTTCTCACAATGTCTGCAATAAATAAATGACTAATATTTAATTTTCTGCAGCATCTGCCCCACCACATTTTAAAAAAATGTCCTGGAATATTATAAAGTATTTACAGCTTGATCAACTGTGTATATATGTTGTGTGTGTGGCTGGTTTTGTATTAATGAATCTACCCAATGGAAACAAGTTAAAGAATTATGACTTTATCCTTCCCTCCACATGAACCCTTTTTTGTCAAACAAACAAAAAAGACTTCTAAAATCATCATTAAGACATGTATCCATGAAGAACTTTGGCAAATTCATATTCCCTGGCTACTTTTTAAAACCATGAGTAGGTGAATTCCCAAACAAAAGAAGTTAAAACCTCATTTCTGGCAGAAAAAAATGTTCTAAGAAATCTAGGAAGGCTTGATTGAGACACTTTTTTTTGACACTTATGCTAAAGCTGCTTTTTATTTTATATAAAACATTTTTTGTGTGAAAAATCACACCCGAAAATTCTGCCCAAATGGCGACTGGAACAATGCCTTGTAACAGTGTTAATTGTCACCATGGAAACCAGAAGAATAAGCCATTTTGAAACTGGTATAGACGGCACACATTGAGCAACTCAAGCATTTTTCAGCCTCCTTCAGTGTTAAGGAACAAGATGCCTAGTCACTGAGAGGTCAGAGAAAGAAATCATCATGAAAGGTTCGTAGATGTGCACTGTCTGGTAAATAATAAAAAAAAATCTGTACGCAGTTAACAATGCTGTAAGACTGCGCACTGCATCTTTCAGAAGAGAAACATCACAAAAAGATGATCAGGACTGGGGTGCAGATTCCACCCCTTGAGCAAAACTTTAGGGCAATATTATGCGAACCTTGCCCCTAAAGCTCCCTGGGAATTCTGTTGTTGTAATAAAACTTCAGAAGAGGAAAGAAAAAAGGCTGCATGATGGAATTCAAAATAATGCTCTAAAAGCACACAGAGAGATTAAGACATCCATTGTAAGACTTTTGTATGGTGCTTCTGTTGGTTATAGTGAAAAGAGACTAGACATACTGAACACACAGAGGAGCTATGGCTACGAAGTACAGAAGAATTAAGCCAGTGAACTTTCTCCATTATCGGAATAAGGCAATACTATTTATAGATGTTCTGCATTCCATCATTCACATCCTACAAAAGCAACTTTATTTTAATGACATCGTGTGATATTGACTGCAGACAACTTAACCTTGCTCTCGATTTTTTGGGTTTGTTTTTTTTACCGGAATAGTATTTATAAATAAACAGAATTGCCTGCTGGAATGATTCAGTTGCTACTGACACATACACACACATACGAGTGCAGGTGGTGTATATATGCACATATATATTTGTTTGCACACATACACAAAATTGTATCTTGTCTATGGCTGCACATGTAAAAATGCTGTGTGAACACGTTCACGGACTGTGAAATATAAATGTATATACCACATATTCAAGCATCTCTAGTGATATTTGTCTATCATCTACACACATTCACATTGTGCTTTCTGGCTAATGTTTGCAGTCTTCATGCTAGGCTTCATGGTGGCCCCTCAGGAAGAAGCCCATGCCTAATGCCATTCAGTGATGAACAAAGACTCTTTTTATTCTAAAGTCCAGGGTCCAAAGCTCAGCTGTATACAAGCAAAGTGAAGGAATCTGCTAGAGGCCAGCCTACCCTTCACAATGGCTCTTAATGCTTCCACCTTTTTAGTACTATCAGTGTGAGACATTTTACAAACTGTCCAGAAGCTTGGTTATATTTTATAAGCAGCCAATACAACTAGAACCTCTGGACAACGTTCAAGACCTTGGTTGAGTATTCTGTCTAGATAAATAGCAGTTGCTGTTTCTTGCAAACTTCCTGTATTTTACTATTAGCAATTTATGGCAAATAATTGCACAGGGAAATTATAAAGACTCCTACAATTGTCCTTGTAAATTAATAATAGGCTTTCTTGATTGGGATAAATTTGCTGCTGAGCCTTTGGAAAAATTAAAAAGTGCAATGTCATTTAAAATTGCCAGAACTCACACAGCAAATTACATCTGAGGTTAAGAATCAGTTTTTCCACTTCTAGCTTATTCCATTTGCATGATCTGGAAATCATATTACATTGGCTATGTATTGTTAATTGGACATAGATTGCATTATCTTTAATATAAATCA